AACATCATGAGGTTGGAAACAAGTTCAATTATTTCTATATTATTAATGCAACACCGGTTTATCCTTGTCGATTGATGCATTTACGGGGCAACGGTTTAATAAATACTTCAAGATTAGTAATGGAAACGTGTCCATCAGCGAGTTTGTTGATGGGGTGGCTTACGGCTTCGTATCACGGAGAGACTTTCCAAAAACTTTTCAATCGCATTACTTTCAGACACCATTTATGATTATTGTAAAATCAACTTTTTATTTGTATGGACTTTTTTATTTTTGTAAAATCGGTCATTTTGAAGTTCGTTCATATCTGAAAAATTCACGCCTATCAAGTTATGTCCTTCTCGAAAAGGAAACCTTTAACTAATTAAGGAATTTAATTTGTACATTTCCCCCTCGAACCTGGAATTTTTATTATCACTGAAGCTAGAGTAGTTAGGCAACAGGATAATTAAACTAACGCGTCAACACTTATTTCTTAAATACTTTAAAAACCTCATTTATCTTCTCTTGTCAATAAATATTCTCCGTACTAGAAACCACTGTTAATCATTACCATCCGAAGCTAAAGAACTGCGCACTGTGATCAGAGGAGAGAACTGCATTGATTTCTGCGTGTCTCCACGTAGTTAGCATTGTTTCCTCGAAGCTGTTTATTAAAATAAGAATGTTCTTGGGGAAAACTGGACAGTAAAGAGTTTGCTATACAAGCTCAGTAGGTTTCAATGGAGGTCTAGCCGTCCTTTCACACATTTATCGTGTACGTCTTCCGAACTCTTTTTCACTTTTGTGCCATAGCCTCGATGTATTTCCTCCTCTTACGACATATCCGTGATGGGTTGTTGACGATTAACGAAGAACGTACATCCACAGGTAACTATGAAATGAAAAATGATGATTTTGATGATTTTACAGAACGCACTGTGCTTTACTTTGCCTTTGCAATTTTCACTTGGAACACTTTTCTTTTTAGATTCTAATTGTCGATGTTTTTTGTGTTTCTGACAAAAGAAAATTGCACTCACGAAAGAAAAATAATGATCATAGTCAGCCAACAGACGGACATCGTGAGGTATATTTTCGCTCGCAATTACGACGAGGGAAGGTCACGGTCGTCGACTACAGCCTCGGAGTTCATCGTATTTTTCTGCGTTGGGCAACGGCTGATGAATGTCTGCGGTGATGCAGCACCTGCCGTGAGGCCGCTGGCATGACTAGTAGTTTTGCTGTTCTCCCACCGTTCGTTAGATTTCAAGACATTTTAGGGTCTATTTGCTCATATGTTAATACAGTGGTATCGCTTATTGGATACTCATTATAATCATGGTACACAGAATTATACGTTTCTACATGCGGGTCATTTTGAAAATGTCCGTTTTCCATATTCTAGTCTGCAGTTTCGGTCGACATTTTATTTCAACCTATAGCATCGTCACATTCATTATTCGAGGTATTTGGAGGTTATTTGAGGTTCAAGGAGGTTGAGTATAACCACTTTTCGACAATAGAGAACACACTTTTACTCCATGAAATACGAAGTTATAATTGTTAATTGCCATTATCTGTATCGAGAGAATTTTACTCCTTGTGCCGTTTACCCCGTAAACCTTCGTATTACTCTTTATACAAGTTTTTTAAGGAAAAAAATAGTAATATTTGCCTTGCAATAAAAACTAAAGCTACTTAATTGAGTTTGTTTTAATAATAGTAATAATAATAATAATAATAATAATAATAATAATAATAATAATGTTTTCTTCATCGTTTAATTGAAACACCGGCAATATGAATTACTGGACTCCTCGTCACTGATAACGACGAGAAAACGAAGTAGCAAATTTAAGCAGGTCACGAGGCGGGCCGCACCAGAACTGTAACTTCAGGACGCCAAAAACATAACAAAAAAAGAAAGTGAACAAAATGTAACGATTGGAGGACAGAACAAATTCTTCAGAACCTTCCCCGAAAGCCCAAGTAAAGTAGTGTTTCCAACACAGTTAAATAATTCGGGAGTAACTGCCATGACCCGTGATTGTCTTCAACTTCAAGGACAAGTTTACTTCGGACAGTCGGTTCCCTTAACATTTTATTTAAAAGATGAATTTTTGACGGAAATGAAACGCAAACATAATTTTGAACGCTTGAAAAATGCAGAGGAACATAACTATCGCTACACCTATTAGCCTTTTAACTCCTAAACCTTGTATTCATAATAATTCCAAAAAAAATTCATGTTCAAAAGTCAAGACTATAAATTACGTTTCACTCATAGAGTCATCAAGAAGAACCGTACTTTTCACGGAACACATATTTACGTATTACGATTATTTGAAATGGACATTTGTGTAATGACCCAAACCCCACAAAATGATTGGTATACGAAAATCATTCATAAAATTAATAGTTTTAGGTTACTATAAAGATCAGTTAACAAAACTGATACCGGATTAATATTATAATGTAAACTACATGACCATAATAAAGAAGTAATATTCTTTCCATATAACAATAACACTAACAATTTCTTCGGAATACACTAAAAAACAATTTTTCATCTATTTCGCTACTATCTTACAGTTGTTCTCTTACGCTATGATAAAGAAGCCATACTTCAACAAATAAAAATAATATGAAAGAAAGCGAGAAAAATGTAAGAAATATTGTGTGTATGATATTCCTCTCATTACTAACCATCTTGAATATCTCAGTAATATTTCTTCGTTTTAACATCTTCTTCAAGCAATCTGAATCGTTCGAGAACCTACCAATTACTGTATTAGAAGCCCGGAAACCATTTGAATATCTACCAAGGTATAGAAGTCGACCGCGACGTCGCACAATGTGAAACTCAGGGTTGATGGAGAAAATTCTCCTATTGTAATCTCATTGTTTCAATGGCTTGGGAAGACAATAGCAAAGCACAAATTATTTCATCCTGATCATCATTCACTGATACACAATTATTCAGAAAATTCAAACAACACATAACTACGCTTTGTTTCCTCCGTTAGGTGCGATATGTGCCATTTAAAACAATTGTAATCTAGTTGTGATGAAGAGATGTAACCATTCATTCTTGAACATTTTACAGCCGTAGAACTCGCAGCAGTCACTCACTATAAGAGACCACCAGTTTACCTTGACTTACTTTCATTATACAGCGGCCTCCGTCTCCTACTTTTCGAATAGAGGCGTTTGTATGTAGTTTCTGCATAATTTTGCACAGCAAGCACATGGCATATGATTCTCAGAAGAACATGAGGGTCAAGAAATTTATTTAATTTTAACTTTACAATATACCATTGCTTTTCATTCAGGAAATACACGAGATTGAAAAAAATTCAGTTTGATATATCAAACTCAAATGGAAATATCTAACGCGAAATATTTGAGGTTTCGATTAATGAAACAACACTACATGAAAATTAGGGGAAAATCATTGGAAATTCAAATAGATATTTAAAAAAGTTATTGAGACGGGTGATTTCCTCTATAAGATCACCGGGCAAAATCTAATTGGTTTCTTTATTTTCTTCAGCAATAATTGTTAAAAGAAAATTATAATTTTCTAAAAAATTAATTTTGTTGCAGTCATTTTTTAAATATTGTCTTCAACACAATTTAGAGAACGATGATAAAACAATGAAGGAAGTCCTAGTTTGTTATCACAAAATGCTTATGTTGTGAGCCATAAGCCCTTTCTCTCCATTTGGAGTTTAAGTATTGTTTTCAATAATTATGTCATTCTATGAAAAAACATATTTACAAGTCAACCTATTAATGCCAATTCTGAACACTAGGTATTAAAGGGATACCTTGAGATATTCCCCTCCTCTTTTCTGTTTTTTTTTATCGTGACTACAAAATTCTAGTTTGTCGACACGTGGTAACATTAATCGTGGTAACGTATTAACGTGCATAACTACGGAGTAGAAAATCAGGATCTTCGGCATTGGCAGAAAATTGTTACCTCGTTTCAGGGCCAATAAATTGCATGACCTGAAAACCACAACTAATTAGCTGAGCGTCATTATAAGAGTCGAGAGTGAAGTTTATTGCGTTCCATGAGCGAGAATAGTGAGGTGTGTGATGTTACATTCTATGTTAACGTTCATCACTTATCGTCTACGTGTCGTGGTTACTATATCACAACGCCAGAGACTGTAGAATACCGAATTGTCAACTACGTTCTTATTTTATTTCGACCCTAGTCATTTACAGATTTTTAGCGATCTAGTAGAAAAATATCTATATTTCTGCTTTCAAATTCCCACTGGTAACAATGGAGTTCATCTACCTACTTCTTCCAATAGATTCAAAATTGCTTCGTTTAAGGTCGTAAAATAACGCATTGTGAAATACTCTGCGCGAAAAAATAAAAGCACCTACACTTATTATTATTATTATTATTATTATTATTATTATTATTATTATTATTATCATGTTATTATTAATTTATTATCTTATTATTATTATTATTATTATTATTATTAATTGTACACACGGCTGCGATATTACATGTAGTTGAGAATCCGTAACTAAAGCATCGCAGACCGCTTTCTGCAAGGTCCGAGTCCCACCGGTGCACCTGTGGCAGGATTTTCGACACCAGCAATACAGCTGTGTCGAGGCCGCCTGGATGAGAGTTGTAGAGGCCGGCAGCTCTGATCAGTTTTTCCTAGAGGACCTTCTAGGCGGATGCCAGAGAAATACTCCAAACAATGGGTCACGAACCGCGCACAATTCATTCTTCTCCATCCACGCGCAACTCCATCCCATCGGGCGATGTCCCATTCTCGTATGCCCAGTCCCCAATATTTGGAGGAAATGTCAAACAATCGTAGGAAATTTGGGAGGTAGCAATTAGTTGTGAGTACTCCGACACCTTATAACTGCCTCATGTTGGAATTGGGATATCCGAAATAATAAAATAATGGATAAATGCCAACGTGGAATAGGTGACCACTGGCGAAGACTTAGTCGAGACGACTTCGTCCACTCACCCTTGAGGAAGCAGCCTTCCTTGGTGCACGCGCCGCGGTCCATAATGCAGTCCACGTACGCCTTGAGCAGGCGCTGGCTGTTCAAGATCGCGTCCACGTCCACGTTGTCGTAGCGGTCACTGTACTTCTCGCCGATGGTGACGCCGTCGCAGCGGCGGGCGGCGGCGTCGGAATCGCTCGCTCGCAGCGCCACCAGCGTGTGTGGTGCGCCAGGGGCCCTGGGGCGGGCGAGGGGGCGTGCGGAAAGGCGAGGCGGGCTCTCAGGCGGGCGAGAGGTCGCGCGGGAGAGCGGCTTCGCGCCATATGAACAGGTTCCTCCTCAAGTCTCCGCGTGTGCTAAGAGGCGCCGCGCGCGTGCGCCGCCAGTGCTCTCCTCCCGTCCACCTGGTGTCCCGCTGCGCGACCAGCGGCCGTGGGTCTGCGGCCGCTTGGCG